ATAAATTCAGAGTCAAATCAAAGCAACAGCCTTGATGATAAAAGTTACGTGTCATGTAAGATACAACATATATGTTAAGATACAGTCGATCACACATCTGAAAAGCTTTCATGCACGTTTCAAGAAACCAAGACAGAAGGATTTTTTTTATCGTACCTCCATGTGAGAGCTGCAGCTGCACTGAAGCTCCGCCGGGCTTCTACAAAATAAATGATTTCTCCCACAAAACAGAGAAGAGACGAAGAAGAAAGAGGAATTCCTGCTGTGACGCCTCAAAAAAAAACGCCACCGGGCTCCGAGTCAAATGAGACAGATGCGATATCAACGAGAATAATTTCCAAAATGCTGCAATGATTTACTGGAGTTAACGGAAATAATATGTAAAACAGCGAATCTTTGTCGAGAGGGAACGAATGCACCATTTTGAAAGTATTACAGGCACCGCGACAGTACTCACAAAATAAAAGTACACCCAAAAATACAAAAACAACATTTATAAGTTGCAATAAAGTGGAATTATTATGTTTCTGGGAATTGAAAAAGATGTGACGCACCCGTCAAAGCTGCAGAATACTCTCCTCCTCCATGTTCTCACAGATGAAGTCAGCGTCTGTTGGAGGTCGCAGAGGTCGACGCACCGAGGGGAACAGAGATTTTGTTCTAATTAGTCTGATTAGTGACACATCCACTCTCTGTCGCCACTGCTTTTTCTTCTGATTGATAATTATCCTCATAATCCAACATCAACCGCATCGCAGACGTACAGAACCGTCAGCCAGCCTGCTCCCATTGATTTTTAATGACTAATAAAACCTGTTCACTATCCCCAGTCTGCTCTAATTCAGAGGTTATATATAGTCCACGGTTATTGATGCCAAGTCAGGAGATGCTGCTGTTGTTTTATTTCATCCTCACACATTATTTCTTCACCTCTCTCTGTTTTTCTTCCCTAATCACTTGTCGGTAATTGATATAAAACGTAAAAGCAAATACACGATCTGCGAACACTAATCTCTTTAAGGTAGAAAAACACCAGCAGCCTGCAGCCAAACGTCGATAACCTCCCATCCCGCTGAGACGGTTCTCTTTTTATTTTTTTTCAACCAGTATCATTCTTGGCTGCTGAGACAGAGAGGGACTCTGGCAAAATTTGGAACCATTGTGGCCGGTGGATGAAAAAAAAATGTTAATTTCCTCCCTTGATAATGATGCATGTCAATTCCAAATGTGATTATCCAAACAGAAAGGCACGCAACACGCTTGTAATGTGCTTAAGATGTTTTAAAATACACGACTGTGTCTGCACACTGTGAAATGCATGAGACCCTGGGGGACACCTTGAAGGGGGAGGGGGGTTCCCTGAGGAGCCCCAGGATTAAAGGTCCATTACAACAAAAGTCATGAGATAACTCTTCCTGGGTTAGGAGATTAGCAGCAGATTCAATGTTTTAGACTGATAACGGAACAGTTTCTCGATTTGATCCTGAATTCATTGCAGAGGACGAAAGAGAGCCTGTTAAAAAAACCAACACGTGTGTGAGTTACCTGGACATTTCTGGACAGAGAGAAACTCTTCCAGTCGCTCGATGGCAACCCCTGACGTGCAGCCGATCGCTCACCGCCCCTGTGGTTTAGTGGAACAGCTCCGGTCACGATGAGTCACTATCCAAACCTCCCTGCATTCAGAAAACAAATGATAGTCAAACAGAGGGGGATCATGAATCAGGTGGACGTGGGGACAGACGTGAGCAGGCGTGAGTTGTGTGTGGACGCAGGTAACAGGCTGCGACATCCTCACTTCTCCTGCGTAAACACAGGCGGTATGAACACAGCCAGTGGGCTGATGCCAGAGCGACCACGACAGCTGTCCGCTCTGGTATATCGTCGCCTCACGCTGCAGCTGCTCTGCACACAGATGTTACTGTAACTTCAAACAGGAGTACAGTGCTGAGGTCCAGAGGACAAACAAGATCAGTGCAGGGTGTTTGTAGCTTCAGCGCACGGCCTCCACACCTCCGACTAACTGAGTCCCCGTCAGAACAGAAACTAGAGAATGATAGGTGAGAGAGAGAGGCAGCGTGCGGTCTTTAAAAGTTATGGATGTGGAGAGTCTCTGCAGGATGTCGTGGGAGGAAGTGGAGATGCGTCGTCCATCTTTATTTACTGACTGTGGTTGAATCGGGCAGGACAAAGCAAATACTGTTAATTTAAAGAGTCTGGTTGTCGTTGGGGCTGCTCACCTCCTCACCGACACAAACACTTTGGGGAAACAAACTTCAGTTTTCTTCTCATGGTGTAAATTGAAATAGTTGCGGTCGCATGTTGCTCCTGCAGCTTGTTTGTAGTGCAGTGTCACGCAGCAGCGAGAACCAGCACGTGTGTTTTAAAACACAGGTTCCTTGAACTATGAAGGTTTGTGAGAGTCTGCCATGTGTTCCTGCCGATGACATGCCTCCGTGGTCTTCACTCTGACTCAGACTTGACTCAGGGGGTCCCGATCGCAGCGCTGCAGGGAATCGAACTGGTTTTCTGGAACAGCCTCAGCTTTAACCCCTGACCCGCTTCACACTCATTCAGCTCGACGATGGAAGTCAGTGGCTTTGGTCATCAGTGTAGTTACTCTTATGTTTTTTTGACGTGAGTCATAATGTGTTGTTTTTACCTTTGAACTGAACTCAAAGTAATCACAACATTATTAAATGAGTGTCTCTTCCATCAGAATTATATTACTGGAAATGCAGAAAGGGATTTTGAAACAGCATTTAGACACGTAACACCCAAACACCTGACAATGTTCTGAGGGTTGAGGTTGTTCTGGGGAGAATTCAGCCTCATGACGTGAACAGAATAATAACATCCTGGTCACGGTAATGACAACTAATCATCTGCAGCACAATAAAGTGAGGTTGAAAAGTAAAGCCAGCAGAACTCGCTCTTCCACAATAAAACCAATCTGTTTGTTTGTTAGTTACCAGGATTGTGCACAAACTAAATCTAAAGTGAACCTGGCGGAAGGATCGTGTGGGTCAGGGTTGAACCATCAACGTCTCTAGTCAAGAAAAGGTCTGCACACAGAACCACTTCATTATCATTTCTTTCTGAGAACGCGACGAGGCAAATGTGAAGGTTTCAGTGAAGGAGCCCTCGTCACCTCTAATGAATGGATTATTTCTGCCTCCTCAAAAACTCTGGCTGAGGCGTGAAATTCATAATTGCAGTTTTTGAACCTTCGGCAATTATCTTCTCGTCTAACTTTTTTTAACTGGGGCTTGTTCCTGGCTCGGTTCCGTCACAGAATTAAAACCGTATCAAAGTGGTTTCTGAAGTTCCTGTGAGTCCACCAGGTATGGTGTGATCCCCTAGGGGATTGTGGGTAATATGGACACCTTGTGGAGGACAGGAGGCGCCGTCATCGCCTTGACTCAACAGCTTCTCCCCAGTCGCCTCCACAGGGCGTCTCGCTCGCCTTCACTTCACAGCAGGGACCAAACAAGAGGCTAGAAAAGCTTCAGGTTGAATCTGAGCTGGAAGCCAATGATTAGCATGATATTCATGCTTTTTCATATCGATGATAATCGGGTCCAGTTAACCGGATGCAGCTTTATTGTGTTTTGACAACGTGACGGTGACGTTAACGAGACACTCACATCAGGTCGAAGTGTTTTTTAATGGTCACGTTTATGTGAAAGGTTGAAACATATTTCTCTCTCTGAGTTTAAATTAAAAATACCGACCTGCAGACTCCGACACACGGTTTAGGTCGGCATAGATTTTTTCCCCCCAGCCCCAAATGAGGTCACTGTGACCTTTGACCTTTCACCCAATGAACCCAAGTGAGAAATTTAAAGAAATTTGCTTCAAACACCAAACTAATCGGTTCATCCGTGGGTCTGAGTAAACATATGAACCAAAGTTGAACACATGTACTCAAGGAGTTGGGAGCTAACGTGTGAACAGCTGAAGAACAGAGCACGTCCTCCCAAAGGTCCCACAGCAGATACGCTGCAATGATCGTGTACAGCCCTCTGAGTTGCAGTGATTGGAAATGCGTGCAGGTCAGCGTCGTGGTAATTCTGAGACGCACCCGAAAGCAAAAGCTCGACCTGAACCTCGGTGTCATTGAGAGTGAAACGTGCAGCACCGCTCCGCAGCTCACGGTCATGACGAACGCTGCACCATTACACCGATCGTGATTAAACAGCAGCGGCTGAATATCATGAGTTTGACAAGACACGTTTCATTATCTTTATTTTTATTTATTTTCTAACGACAGCACAGGCCTAGTTTTTGAGGAAGCCTATTATTGTCCTCCCACACACACCCATCAGGAGCAGGCGCACCACGACCTCAATAACCCTCCACTCACACACGCACGCGCACACACACACACACACATTAGTCCATTTTAAGAAATCCACTGATGTTCCCACAACACTACTGCCATCAAGTGGCTGCTTTTAGTCACGACATCTGCCTGAGAAACATCCTGCAGCATCGATACGGTGAATTTTATGGTACTTTGTACCTCCAGTACATTATTACAATTCAAGTACTCTGTGTATTATTATATGCACAATAATTAATCAATAATTATAGACCTACAATATAATATATGCGTTATTCTGAAGTGGCGTCTTTTTGCACAATGAGTACTTTTAGTATTTTGTGCGTTTATGTTAAGGCTAATACTTTATTTATATTACTGTAGTTTTATTCAAGTAAAAGTTTTAAATACCTCGTCCGCAATTTAATTACTATTTAACTCACTAGAGTATTTTTGAGATTCCACTGATACTCCACAACAGAAACAGAAAAACTTTTTCTTTCCCCAAAATGTCCTTTAATTAATCATCCATATTACAGTTAACGGGAATTCTTCAATCCTGGAAACGTTCCGACTCAAAAAACACTGAATACTGGGAATTATTTGGCATGAAAATCAAACACAAACACAGCAGGTACACAACGTGTCAGTTATTGGCAGTTTCAATACAAACGCAGTGGAATGGACTTGAGAAAACTCCCGACCGTAAAGGGATTCCTGCTCCACATCTTGTTATAATAAGTTAAGACAACGATGATGATTAAATAGGCGAACAGTGTTAAAAAGAGGCACTTCTTCATCAGTGTGCTCCGCAGGAAAGTACAAATACACAGCAACGGAGCGTCAGCGCTTCAGCCGACGCTCAGAATTCATAAACTCGAGAGAAGTGATGATATCTGAGGCGAAGTCTCCTTCTTCATGTTGCATCATATAAAACTTGAATTCATTTTAAAGAATCTGCTTTTACAGTTGAACATTACAGAGGTCCACGAACGCTGCGCCACAGAACGTTCAGTACAAAGAAATGAGGCTCAGACGTTCGAGAACCTCTGTGTGAATACGTGAAGAACAACAACATGACGTGAGTGAATAACTAAATACGCCTTTAGTTTGTGCTGTCGTTCACTTCTTTTCAATTCCTCAAGTTGTTTTTAAATCTGTCAGATTTCATCACTTTCCACGAGAACAACGTCACAGGATAACTGACCCAGAGGCACATCATTGAAACTTGAAGGGTTCTCCTCCACACTCCAGCGGTAACGGGCAGTTAGGATATAGTGCACAGAGCTCAGAGGTGTGTTGGATTTGCTTGTCTGGGACGAACAAACGCCACCAAGCGCACCTCTTTTTTAATTTTTTTATTTATCTAAACATTTTAACTTAAGTCCCACTGCAAAAACAAAAACCCATATAAACAAGTCTCAGACCTAAAACCGTTTTTATAAATTAAATGGAGGGTTAAAATATTTCCAACTCAAATTATTTTAAATATAATGTTGCACCTGTAGCTACGGTGGAATGGTTTCACCACACCTGCAGATTTGTTAAGCGACTTGTTATGATGGATATTCTTGCAGTCGTAAAACAGGCTGAGTGTGTAAATGAAATCGTTTCCACACTTAGCGTCAGTCTGTGTTTTCTGCTGTGAGCGCTGGGTTTTCACGAGGCCCTCCTCTGTCTGAGTGTGGGTGCGTTTGGTCTTCATCCGGGTGGGCGGTGTTTGGTTCGGAGTTGTCCGGCGGCGGATCTGTGCCGTCGTGGACTGAATTTTCCTGTGACGTCGCCGCCGTCTCAGCCGACGCCCCGTCATTAAGTACCTAGCAACAACAGGAACAAACAGTGGGAGCGTTTGACAGGAAACCGTTTTTTCATTGGATTTCAGCATCGTCTTTTATTTGATATCGTCTAAAAACTCCCAGATATCTGGAATAAAACTGATCGAACTGGAAAAACGTTCGTCTCCCTGACGAGCTGACTGAATGATAAAAACATCAAAACCATTATTCTAACTTTCTATCTTCTAAAAGAGTTTTTAACGAGGAAACCGAGCAGAGGTTCAATCTTACAAATACAGTTATAAAGTCATCGGCTGCACTGACCTGAGTGAACGTTGAACCTGTCGCCTCACTTGTGTCTTCTGCTCCCTCTACATCACTTTCTGTCTTGTTCCCACGACATAGTTATATACACAGTATATACACACTGTATATATATACTGTGTATATAACAGGGTAAATATTTACTGTGTGTGATCTCACAGGTTTCTCTCATCAGCTTAAAATGATAAGTGCTGATTCATCATTCAGAGACGACAAACGTGGTTTTGAACGAACGGCTGCTGGAGAACACGTAAAGAACACGTTCAGGTTTTAGTTTCATTTCGTGAAGGAACCCTACGTGGGTTAGGGTTAGGGTGGTTTTGTCACACAGAAACACAGGTTTTTGAAATTGGAGGCCGATTTAGAAGAACCAACAACGTCCTTTCTGTGTGTTATTTATATTTAATACTCGGGGAAGCTGCCTCGGCCAACAGACGAATGAAATGAGAAGGTTTTAACCAACAGAGGGCAGTCACTGTGCTTGTGATGCATTCAAAGACTTTGTCCTTAAATGATTTTAGTCTCTAATCAGCAACACGACTGATAACCTGGTTTTCAGATGAAGATATTCTTGAAGTTGTAAAACCAAGTACTGACTTACTTTTACTCAAGTAGAAAACTTAACGTGGAACTTTTACTCGTCCGTTTGTTTTTACATAAGATAAATATTTGAGTACTCCCCCCCCCGAGTACTACTATCAGGTCTAAACATTGACTTTGTACAGAAACAGTGTTTGTCCTGCGACTGTCGACGTGTCAGTCTAGACAGGGAAAGACAAAAGCCTCAAGAGCAAAACCAAGAGCGAGGGCAGAGGGTCAGAGTGAGACGACTTCGTGCAGGAAGCTCAAACACAAAACCACTCGCATGCATCAGAGATCAAATGATCTGGGCCCATATTTAGCTTCATTTGTACTCACCCACAGAGCGAATATATATATATAACAGAGCAGAACTACTTTAAAATAAAAGACCCTGATGATGAATGAATATATGTTATGTCGTAGTTTTGGTCCTTGTCACATGATGAAGGTGTTTTACTTCTCAAAGTGAAGTTTTCACTCTCTTGGTAAATACAGGCCCTGACGTAATTCAGGAATGCATGCACCTCACACGACGTCACGATTCAGGTGTGGGAGTTCTCACAATTGCAGAGACGTATGCATGCATGACACGAACACACCCAAATACCACATGCACGCACACACACACACACACACACACATGCACATTCAGGGTAGTTTTCCATTGACCTTTGCACGCAAAAATGTCTCACCTTTCTTCAGCCGTTGAGAGGAGGAAGTGTAAGAGGGTTGAGATCAGTGAAAGGTAAAGAAACATTTCCCACAGTTACGAAACAGACGTTACTATGATTCGACATCTCTCCTTAAAGCATCAAGTTAGTTTTATCCCCTGAGTTACTTCAAACTTTACAGACGACAAGAAAAAATGACGACAGAGAACTTCTGCAGCTGAAGACGAGGATGAGTTAGAATTGAACATGAGTTGAACGCTGTTTCTCTCTCTCTCTCTCTCTCTCTCTCTCTCTCTCTCTCTCTCTCTCACCTGCAGTGGGTCCGCCTCTGGTGGTGGTCCGCTGCTCTTCTTCATCTTCATCATTTCCTTGATTTGGAAGATGGCGAAGGCGATGGTGACCCAGGGGGCACCAGAGAGCACCCAGGCCGGCTGCGTCACGTCCTCCTGATCCTCCTGGTGCTTGGTCTTCTTCACGGGTAAGATGGCGGCCTGGTGGACCGGGCTCCCGACCTCGCTCTGGCTCTGGACCAGGTCGATGGTGGCGATGGGGACCGGGCTGGAGGGAACTGGGATGTTCTCCGCTAACATTTTGTCCTCTGAGGAATTAAATGAACAGAGTATTAGAAGGAAGACATGGGTATATGGAGATACACATGAAATCATGTAATCCCCAAGGAAGCAACACTTCTTCATCACAAACTCGAGGTTCGAGGATTGAGGAGGTTTTTGACCTTTCCCCTCAGTATCTCCGCTCAGGAACTGGATGAAGGAGAAGATGAGGAGGATGACGAGGGAGGCCATGCCGATTCCTCTGAACGTCGCTGGAGCTCCTGCAAAGCAAACAGGGAAACGTGAACTCTGGGAAAATGACATTTCACTGACTGAAGACATTTGTGTTCTCACAAACAGCCCATCCATGACGTAAGCTGTCGTACCGAAATAATTGACGAACACTCCCCCCACCATGGCGCCACAGCCACGGCCCAGACCGAGGTGAAGGCCCTGCAGGATTCCCTGCGCAGACGTCCTCAGCGCAGGCGGCACCGCAGCGCTCAGGAAGGAGATGCAAGCTGCCCAGACAGAGGCGTGACTCACACCTGGGGGACAGACGGGGACAGCGATGGGTCACAGCTTCTGTTTCATTAAAACATTATTCGAACAATGTTCTTTTTTTTAATTTTAGCTTGTACCTGTGACAGTTATGGCTCAATTAACAGAGCTGGAACTGTCAGAGACGCTCAGAGGAAGAACATTAAAGCTAAAATATACAACAGTCATAAGTGTAAAATGAGTTACATGACACGAGACGCTGCATGAATCCAGATCTAGCTCATTGCGCGTGGTTTCAGAAGGGGACTTCTCAAGTTTGAATTATTTACTGTGGTTGACTTCATATTTAAAACTGTGGAACTGGGACTTAAGCTCTGAACAAGTTTTTACATGTTGACTCTGTGAGGCGTCAGTGTTTTCTCAGGGCGGAACTTCTCAAACAAATGACTCACACAGTCGCTGTCATGTCTCACACAGCTCTAATCAACTTAACTTATATTTCTATTGTAATATTTTGTCTTTAGTTTTTTATCCACTTTATTTCACTAGATCTGAGCATTTTAATGCAGTAAATTACTTTTTGTGGTGTTCAATTCATTGTGAAAAATAGATT